CTACTTTTATGAATTCAACTATTTCAATAAGAAATGAAAAGAAAATACAAGAGAAATGACAAGAAGAAAATGAAAGAAAAAAAAGTTATCTCCAAATATTTGTCCGTGTGTGTATTTCTATGTGTATTTGATTTTATTGGTTTCTAAATTTTTCTTGAAATTGTTGGGGAAATAAAGTTTGGGAAGGGAAATATCTTACACTATGGGAGGGAAAATGAACAAGTTGGGAGATAAAATATGAGAGTGGTTGGGGGGGATATAAGTTTGGTAGATGGGAAAATATATAACAGAAAAAAAAACCCCAATAGCTTAAAAAAATAGGGAAAGTTACATGCAGCAGCGCCACGAAAAAGCCACACTTTTAGACCTCATTTTTTACAGCATGATTCATTTGTCCGTCATTGCCCGTGCTCATTGAACAGTTGACAAAGCCCAGTGCATGTGGGCAAAGCTTCCTATTCACTCACTGCATATTGCACGCTGAGGTCTTGACCATCAATCGCTCCACATAGGAACACAGCAGCATAGCAACACACTGGGCCAAGGCCCGGAACAAACGAGCCCTTATGTAACACACACAATGGGGGCTCTAAACAGAGCGGGCTGTGTGGCTGCAAAACCGAAGGGTCAATGGAAGTTACTTGTGAGGGCTAGACTCGCCACGGGACACTCATTTTATGGGGTTTAGGCTTTCAGAAAGAAATATATGAATTTTTGAAGATTTTTGAAAAAGGAAAATATCAAAAAACTGCCCGGCAGCGCATGTAACTGTTAAAAAAGCACCCAGCAGCAAGTGGTTAAGGCTCTATATCTCCTGAAGTACATGTCCGATTGGGTTCAAATCTTGCAGATATCTTGCAAAGAGAGTGCTTTAGAGGAGTTTTGACCTCTCGATGATAACGTCATCAGGAGACAAGTCACATGACATTAAAGGGGAACTCTTCAAACCACTATACCTTGAAAAGTACATGTCCCATGCGGTTGAAACTTTGTGTGTGGCTGGAAAGGAATGGTTAATAGACCCAAAGTGATTTGATTTGATTCTGACCTCATCTGGTGATAAGTCAAGTGACATTAAAGTTAAAAAATACAATTCTTGTAACTGGTATCACATCCACTCGTGATGACGTCAATAGCTGAAGAAGTCGTATATGTTATCTTTAAGTAAGTATTATAATTTTTAAGCAATTGTGAGAAGCTCCACAAAGTACAAAGGAAACTCTCAACCGTGAGAATACTATCACATGACTAGTCATATTAGATTATCTTCAGAAGTAGACATCCAATTGCATTGGTTGAAATTGATCATAAATTAAACTTTTTCAGGGTATATGTCACGTCCAGAATATTAGATTGTTCATTTGTAGTCTCTCATATTTTTTTAATGCCAGGTTTTTTCATCACAATTGCCAATACTTATTTTGTTGGTGAAACAGTCCCGAAAAAACTCTGTGTTTGTACTTGTTTACAAACACTTCTGTCTAGTTTATATTAGCTGTTTTGGCAAGAGCCGGAACAGGTCTTGTTTTCGTTAAAATGTTTTTCTTTTTTTCTTTTTGGCTTTTTGCGAAAAAGCCTTTGGAATCTTCAGGATTTTTTTGGGGGGTTCTTCTTTTTGGGCCCAAAGCCCATAGACTTGCACACGTTTTTTTGTGCAGGACTTTTGCCAATAATCTTTGTCGCACAGCATTCAAAGTTGGCATAGGCATAGTCATTATTGCATAGATGTATGCTGACGCATGACGTCATCAAGTGATTTATTATTGATTTTTAAGTATTTGTTTCAGCCCATTCACTTTGTACACATTTTCAAGGCACTATTTCGGTACATTAGTAACCTTGATCATCGTCAAAGTTACAGCAAGCACTGACTATAAAACGAAGATAATACTGAAATATTTACGTCATGATGACATCATCAAGTGATTTATTATCAAATATTGCATATTTAATTAATCCGGTAAATTTATAAAAATCCATATAAAATTAACCATTGCTTCCCGCAACATTCTGTTTGCAGCAAGTGGCAGGATAAAATGTGGTCTTGAATTCATCTCGTGTGGGTCATATCTCGTGACCCTTCCTTCCGGTTGAAACCGGAAGTGGTCTATTGGTTAAAAATGGTAATAGGTATCAACTTGTTTTCAACTGTGTTAGTCTGTAGGGGGTATTGTATCCTTCAAATCTACTAGCGACAGGTTAAAAATTCCTCAAAATTAATTTTGAATAGATGTCTGTGGCGAAGTTTGTCCGAATCGCCTGAAAATTGATGAAGGTGATCATCTTTACCCTGTCAACGCGTGTGTGAAGATTGAGGCTGATGATGTCATCAGATGCATGAAGTGCGTAACTGGTGTACTTTTTGACACACGTCAAGCGCCGCCAACAAACCCCCTAAAATATAAATTTGCCAACTCAAAAATCCCATTAGCATGCTTTACATATGCTTGTGTGT